ATTTTTATACAACCATTTAAAGAAAAGTTTTAATGAGTTTTTTAACCCCGAAGCAATCCGAATGTATGCAATGTACAGATTTGTCATCTACAGGAAAAAAAAGGTGTAGCTTTTACTGTTTAACTCACTCACTGTCTTTTTCAAAAACATCGATATCCCGCAAAGACTTTGTTTTTACGTGAATTACCAAACAACCTCCCAAAGAAAAACCGACATTGTTTGCATGTGATATATATATATATATATATATATATATTAAAGGATAAACCAAGATTGATGACTTGACTTCTCCTAAAGGTTAGAAACTTATTTATCTTCTTTTCATCAATCTCTTTTTCTCCATCTCCATCACTTGATTTGTTTTTCATTTCATTTTTCTCCATTTCTATCACTTGATTTGTTTTTCATTTCATAAATTGTTATTTTTCAACAATTCTATTTTCAAGTTTATTTCGAGAAGACCAATTCAGGTATGCATTCCTTTTTATTTTTGTTGGGATTTTATAATTTTGTTTTTTTTTTACTTTTCTCTTCTATAATTTTCCTAAGTTTTTTAATTGAAACGGAGAACTTGTTATTGACAACATTTTTAGAGTTTTCATGACAACAATGGTTCGATTAATGGTCTGGTGATGGAATCTTGAAAGTACTACAAACCATGATGTAGCCTCAACAAATTTCAATATGTTTTTCTAATGGTTATCTTTTTTTCAAGTATACTTTGAGAAAAACTAATGCATGTATGCATTCCTTTTGACTTTTGTTGAGATTTTAAAGTTTTTTTTTTTGTTACAATTTTTGATGTAGCATCACCAAACTTCAACATGTCCTTTTTTAATGGTTACATTTTTTTTCAGGTTTATTTCGAGACGATTAATCCAAGTATGCAATTCTTCTTAATTTTCTTAGGAATTTAGAGTTTTTTTTTAACTAATGTCTTTTACATTTTTCTTAAGTTTTTTTTTCAATAGAACCAACGGTATGTTTTTGGCAATTATTTTAAAGTTTGGTTGACAACAATCATTCCTCATGGAATCTTCAAAAACCAAGTTTAATGGAAAACCATCTTTCATATTTATCTTTTATTTTCTCATTCTTATTTTACATTAAAATGTTTTCAACATATTAATTGTTGAAACTTTTTTTTCCATATTCTACTTAT